CCGCCTAAAACGCACCAAATAAGGCCTAGTTCTTTCTATGGTCAAATTTAAGGTGAACATGCGAAGAAAAGGGGAGACTCCTGTAAAGCTGCATTCATACTTTGCGGCAGCCATCGTCCCAATAGAGTTCACCAGCGTTCCAAGCGTCCGGCAGCGTTACCGACTAGGAAGGTATAGATATCGATCTAGCGTCCACCAGCGACCATCAGCGACCAGCTGCATCTTGAGGGCTAGGGAAGTCTACCATCAGCGGCCATAAGCGTCCGGGAGTCGACAGTATGGGGCGATAGGACGGTAACAAACACCTGGTACCCTCCTATCGCCCCATACTTTACACTCACGGACGCCGCTGGCTACTGGAAGACGGCAGATCGATACCTATAGTTCCCTAGCCCTCGAGACGCTGCTGGTCGCTGGTGGACGCTGGCAGACGCTAGATCGATAGATATACTTTCCTAGTCGCTGACGCTGCCGGAGGCTCAGAACGCTGGTGGATGCTGCCGCAAAGTATGAACGCAAGACTAACGAACACTAGACAGCGGCCAAGCTAGGTATTGCACAGAGTGCACAATATAACGGCACGAAAATCGGGAGCATATTGCAACACCATGCAATAAGTGCGCAGTGTTCAAGTATAGCAGGGGTAAAAACATTTTTAAGGCCAGAATCTAGCGTGCGTACCACTTACCTTTGATCGGAAAAGATTGCCCATCTTTTCCTTTGTTTACCTGATGCTTGAATTGTACCTTAATATGCCAGGACACTCACTTGGGATTCTGCGGTACGAATGCGATTACTGCCTTCTCCACCCCATCTCTTTCCTTGTCTTCTTTCGCGTCGAAACTGACGGCAAGTTGCGCGTATTTGAAGATGCTGAAATGAAACGCATTATCATGGAGTTAGAGTTTTTAGACAACCCTTTTTTTTGTTCTAATAGAAGGTACACTCCATGACTTCAGAGAATTTTTATGCAGCTTAATCTTGAAAGAGGCTTCAAAGGCTTTCTTGGCCGAGCGATGTTCTGAAGCCAAAATCCTTAGTGAGAAGAACGCTATCGCCTCCGAATAGAATAGCTAGCTTCTATCAGGAGCTGCGTCCTGTCACTGGAGCGGCTTCGGATTTCACAAGACTTCTCACCATTCAAGATCAGTGTTGTTGTTCTGGGTGACATCGGGGACATCCTGAGTCAAACCAAGGACTGTCTGGCTCAATAACTGGTTCGTCGCCAGATCATCAGCGGTCCAAATAACTGAATAGTCTGCGTCTACCTTAACGAATGAGCTTTCACAAAGAACTTTTTTGAACAGACCTTTTTTAGCAAAGTATACAAAACTAATCGAACCTTCTAGGCTATATTCTGAGAACATTTACAGGGTGGATGTCCCTCTGTAAAACGTTCAAAGTGTATCCCACTATAAGTTACTTATTCCCTTCGGTAATGTTTTTCCGCCGTATGAAGTGGAGGGGGTACAGGGGGTACGTGACCAAGATTACGTTCATGCTTTGCGGCAGCGTCCACAGCGACCAGCTGTCTGCTACCCTCCTATCGTGCCATACTCTCCACTCCCGGACGCTGATAGACGCCGGTGGACGCTGGCAGACGCTAGATCAGTACCTACACTTCCCTAGACCTCGAGGCGATGGTGGACGCCGGTAGATGCTTTCCGACGCTGGCGACACTGGTGGACGGTATATCGATATCTATACTTTCCTAGTCGCTGACGCTGCCGGACGCTCGGAACGCTGGTGGACGCTATTGGTCGCTATTGGACGCTGCCGCAAAATATGAACGCAGCCTAACCGAGTTGCTCGACCGGACGCCAGTAACGTCTCATCCCTGCTACAAGCTAGAGTTGCCCAATAGGTTCTCTGCGCTTGAGGGACAGATGAACATCATACCACTTGTTCAGAGCTCTCAGAAAAAAAATCGTCTTCCTGTCAACGCTGCGACTGACTGCGACGTTAACAACTATGTCAGTTTTACTATCTCATGAAGAAATGCATCTTTAGTCTTCAGAAAGGAGAAACCGAAGTGCATCCAAGGCTACTAGACAACTTTCCCGAGAAGAAAGTGCAGTGACTTCTCCTTATTTGCTGAAATTTCTTCTCTGAGGACATCTCTATTCTGTCTCCTCATCAAGTGTTGTCTCATGCAGTATAGTGAAAATAAATTAGAAAACAGAATAGCTAGAAGTGCTACGCTCAGCCCACTCACCACTAGATTGAGAACCACCCGGATTTTATCGAGCCCAACCTGCCATGTTGGGCTTAGTTGATTGGCGACGAAGTCAAGCTGCTGAAAGATACACAGTGTGAAGAGTCTCATTAACACCCTACGAACAACGAGTTCTCGACGAGTCACCTTCTGGAAGTTTTCCTGTGTTCCGACAGTGGAAAGGCCGCTCAGCATGAGCACAATGTCTCGATTGCATGGATTCGCAGCTAGAATAAGACATTGAAGCACAAGTACACGACTATAGCTCAACGTTCATTGAATTGTTCTAGGGAGATCGCTCTCGAATTCTCGCATATTGACCCACTGCTCTAATGGCTAACTTTGTGAGTCTCAATCCATAAGCGATTTAGGGAACTTTCCATATAATAATATAGTGAAGCTCGATGCGCATAGAACGGGCCCAAAAGCAGGGTCGAGCGTACGTCGCGAAACTCGCGACGTGAATGGAAGACGAGTGTGTGGCTTATTCCATAGAGACGTTTATCAGCAACTTTGTCCCTCAATTCCTATCTACCACAAGTGCAAAGGGGTGTGTTGGAAGTCTTCCGAAGTATCGAAAGGGAATGAAGGCTGTACTTATAGTTGGGGCACCATATCAATGCAGGGAGGGGGAGGGAAAACTCACCGTGCGGTGCGCGCACGCAGTCTGCGCGGCGGTGGTGTGGCGAAAGATTGTACACTTACAACAAGAGACGCTGCCATCAGTGCGATTTGATAGACTGCCTGTTTATTAGCCCATATTCGTCTCTAGTCGGTAGCGTCGCCAAGGTGCATTAATGGTTGGCGATTTTGGTAGAGTCCGTACGACCCCTCGCATGGTTCCCTCCTCTGGTATGATCGAGCTGTAACTTGGAGGGGAGGGGGATCCAACTGGTGGGTGGAGAACGCTCCAAACCGTGATCTTCTGACATGGCCCAGCATGAGCAGCTAAGGAGACTGAATATGTATGTTTCAGGTTTACGCGAAGCCACAGCTAGCAAAATGTGGTGTTGTAGGTATGCTTCTCGTTCGAACAAAAGAGTAAAGAATTGATTCGGAACAAAGACTTGAATCTCAGACGGTCTCAGAAATGGCGGCACTCACTGAAAACAGACTCGTAGACGAACTGGAATCCAGTTTTCTGGATGACGGGATCTGTTTGAAAGGTAACGAGAGCATAGCGTTGTGTAGTGAAATACAATCCATTAGGAGTCGTAACTGTGGCATTAGGGCCACCGATTCTGAAAGATCCAAGATGCGAAGCTCTGTTACAATGAAGAACAAATGGATAGTATTCTGAAGTAACAAAGCGTTTCAGAGCCTTCATCAAGGTTCATTTTCGGGACTTTTCATCTGTATTCCTTTTGTCGCATCGCGACGATGCCACCGCCGCACCGCGACGCTGGTATCTACGTCAACATACCATTGCCACGCCCCCCCCCCACAGCTAGCATTCTTTATGCTTCTCATTGACGAAGACGGCTGTCTTCATAGACGCAATAAATAATCACAGTTGAACCACCGTATCATAGCACATTTTGGTGCATCGGCTATTCCGAATTATACGGTAGCCCGCTTGTCAATTCTTGCAATTTTGCCGGATTGACAACCCAGGTCAGTGGCCAGGCTTTTGTCCCGCCACACTGTCAATACTCCAAGTTGAGTAAGCACCAAAGTGACAATATAGTCACGACAGCGATAACTATCCAATGTCGCTATATTTCCACAGAACAGCGCTTAAGCGTTTAACTGTAAACTTGATATCTCAGATAGATGCATTCCGCTCCTTTGCGGACCTTCTGGAGTACCCAGAGCAATCAGGCGAAAGAAGAGAGTTCTGCCTGAGAAAGTTAGCCGCTATTGAAAATGCGGTAGCAATAATAACTGCCTCACGAGATGAAATTCTAGCAGTGCTCGACACAATACACAGCGCAGTACGCCGAAACCAAGAAATCTGAGAGAAAGGAATTTCTTGAGGAATTTCAGTCAATCGAAAGCGAAGTTTCGTACGACAAAACAATATCCGAATCCGACGCACTTCTCACGGCGTTAAAGACTCGTATCAGTGAAATAAAGCATGAAAATTCCATGATAGTCACTGAGCGACTTCAGCGCGCTCACAGAATCAAACCCGAAGGTGGGATACCCGTCGAAGATGGCTCGGACAACAGTTCTTGCTCCGATATGCAAATTGACGTTAACTCTGAAGAGGTCGCCGTGAAGGCGCCAGAAAGCTGCGAGGTAAAACTACGCCAGAAAGCTGCGAGGTAAGACTAAACTATACTCCTCGAAGGGATACGGCACAGAGCCCCGAAAATCTCCCGCAGCAACACAATACGGTAGCCTGCAACAGTGCGCCGATTGCAAACCGCGAAAATGCGGAGACGGTTCAAGTATGTGCATCTATCAAGCCACCAAGAGCGAAAT